AGCTCCAATGACACCGAGGCCTCTTCTGGCCTCCACGGGTGTCGGCACACATTTCACAGACGGGTGCACACACATAAACTTAAAAATCTTCAGATGTCCTTCCAGCTTCTCTCTCCATTGCAGGTGGGAAACAGGCTTCGAGTGTTTCCTCAGAGTCCAGGCCAGGTCGTGCACTTCTCTTAAAGCCCCAGGTAGACTTTTTCCATTCGAGTGGACATACATTATAGGTATTATACTAGGTTTTGCCCTAGTGGCAGGATACCTTTTTCAAAGCTGTGAGAATTGTGGGCTGCACTAGAATCTGTGAGTTTGCCGTGCCGGTGGAGTTTAAACAGACACTGAGCAAATCCTGACAAGCCTGTTACTGAGGAATTCAGTTATTTGAGGAGGTAGGCTTAATCTTGTGCTCAGAAATGTCTGGTTCTGGGAAATACGAGCATTTTAATTTTTCTACATCTTCCTCCATACTTTCACCAATGAGAGATGATCGCAGTGGTCTCTAGCCCAGCTCCTAGCTTATGCCAGGCAAGGAAGCGAACAGGACATGCCCCCGAAAGCGAATCCTGAGTCCAGACTTCTGAAAAGACATTTGGTGTTCACGTGACGCAGCTGAAGAGCCACTGTGACCCGCGGCTGACTCTTGTCCTAGGAACTCAGAACAAATGGGGCTGTGCTCCTGCAAACCCAGTCAAAGACGTAAAAGATCAATGGAGGGGACCAAGTACAACTGCACAGAAGAGCAGCTTCTCTCCGTGTTCTGTATCCAGCATTGGCCACACAGACCGGATTTGGGAGCGGGTATTATTTATTTGCAGCTTTTATATGAAGCGTAGTGACCCAACTGCCAGACACTTCTCACTGCTCCCCCCGCCCCCTTATGATTTCTTTTTAATAACGTAGCGACAATGCAGGTTATGATACAATTACAACCATACCTGACTCAGCACCCACTGGGGCCATCTTAATTTAGACTGGGCGGGGATTACATTACCAGAGATTCCTCATACCTACACAGGACTGGCTCTATAAGCCAAGGGTACATAGGTAGGAAGGTCCTGTCAGTCATCTGACAAGGGCACCAAGGAGGACCTCCCCAGATCTTAAAGGGCTGTCAAGTCTGTGAGGAACTCACAGTGACCTCCAGGGCACTAGGAGGCATATTGCTTGACAGAGGTGAAGACGCAAGGCTAGAGCTAACCTGACCTGTGCACTTACTTCCTGGGTGAGGTTAAAACAGTATCTCGGGTTCACTCTAGTTTTTTTCTCATAAAGTCCACCTTAAATTGCTCTAATCCACAGACTGGCTAACAGCTAATCGACAGATGCCTAGCTGGAGGCATCCACCACCAGCAGCTGCTTCTCCAACCAGATGCCACCCAGTCATCCCTTCCCCAGCTCCCCTCCTTGTGCTCCTGCTGGGCTTCTGCTAAGCTGCTGCAGAGGAGCAGAATGGCCTGGCCTCCTGGAGTGGGCGTGGCCTTGGGTCAGGCGGCTGGTACCAAGCAAGCAGCAGCTTCCTGCTCCTCTCCCTTCCAAGGATCTGCCCATCTCTCTCTACCTTTTCTGGACTTAACCCAGTGGGAGGCAAGGGCCAGGGCCCAGGTACCTTGGGGCCGGCACACAGGTCTGTGGACATGAGCAGGCGCTGAAGGTGTTGACTGCTCATTCTCCTGTCTTTAGTTCCTAGCAGGTGCTGGTGGAGGCTCCCACTGCGATGCATTTGTAAATTATCATGATCTTCTGCATTAAAATGTTTCTCTGTAAAATAATTTTTTTAAAAAAAGATGCTTAATTGGGCCACCCACAGCTCAGAGAAAAAAAAAAATAGCCTTTTGTGTGTGCAGCGTCCGTGAAGGCCAGTAGAGGGTGTCAGATCTCCTGGGGCTGGATTTACAGACTGCTGGGAGTTGCCCTATGGGTTCTGAAGCTCAAATCTGGGTCCTCTGGAAGAGGCCTCCTAGCTGCCAAACCTCTCCAAAGACTCAGCTTTCATCTCTGTGGTGGTGGTATCCTTCCTGACTGTCTTCCCATCCCAGTTAAGCCAAATCAACCTTTTCTTTGCACTTGGAGCCATTGTGGTGTTGTCTGTTTCTTCCACATAACGTTCTGCGGATGCTTCAGTACAGGACTTGCTATGAAATTCTGGGTGTAACCTGCTGTGTAGATCATGCTAGCCTGGAGTTTGTGGTTTCCCCTCCTCACCTCCGGAGTGCCAGATTACGATTGTGTATTGCCCTGCCTGGCTCTCTCACACATCCTTAAGATTAAAAACTGTAATTTGGGCAGTGGTGCATACCTTTAATCCCAGCACTCAGGTGGCAGAAGCAGGCGGATCTCTGTGAATTTGAGGCCAGCCTGGTCTAAAGAGTGAGTTCCAGGACAGGCTACAAAGCTACACAAAAAAACCTGTCTCAAAAACAAACAAACAAAAAAAACCCAACAAAACTGTAAATTGCATCTCTCCAATCCCTAGCATCCAGCAACAACTGGTCCTAAGAATTTTTTGTGGTGGTTGTTGTTTTTGAGACAGTTTCTCAGTGTAATAGCCTTCACTGACCAGGATAGCCTTGAACTCACCAGAGACCTTCCTGTCTCTGCCTCCCAGGTGCTGGGATTAAAGGTGTGCGCTACCCAGGCCCAGCAGGTCCTAAGAAATTTAGTCATAGATTTTCAGTAAGTGGAGCATGGGAGATAATTGCTGAGTAAGTGAGATAGTTCCACTGGGCCCCATCATTCTATAAATCTGGACAGTAAGAAGATGCCATGTAATAACTATAACATGGTTGGTTTACCATGGCTCGCCAATGGAATGTTGGTGACAATGACGCTTGTGGTTTATTGACTCCTTACCACATGGCAGACAGTGAGCTATGGGTCACTGCACAGTGTCTCACATATTACCTATGGTATCAGGTTCTGACAGACAGGAACAGGGAAACTGAGGGATTAAATAAAGCTTCTCCCAGTGACAGACAGAACTGCACCTCAAAACCAAGGCTGTTTAACAACAAAGCCTGCACTCACCACCACCCCCACCCCCACCCTGTGTGCCGTTGCTTTGAATCAGGGTCTTGCTGTATAGCCCAACTTGGCTTCAAGCTCCAGCTTCCTGCCTCGGCCTCTGGGATGCTGGGGTCATGGCTATGTGCCACCATACTCAGCTCTGGGAGTTCTTCAGCAAGGAAACACAAGGGGCTGGAGAGATGGCTCAGAGGTCAACAGCACTACTTAACCTCCCAGAGACCTGAGTTCAGTTTCCAGCACTCATATGGTGCTCACACCCACTGTAACGTCAGGTCCAGGAAGTCCAGCGCCCCCTTGTGCCCTCTCCTGCACATAGTACACAAACATACAGACAGACCAACCAAGCATCCACACATAAAATAAAAATTTTCAAAATAAAAAGGGAAAACTAAAAGGATGCTGATGATTTTATGTTCTCTCAATATAGTCTGGGGTTTTACAAAGACCACCTGTTTTATTAAATAATAGAAAAAGGGGCTGGAAAGATGGCTCAGAGGTTAAGAGCACTCACTGCTCTTCCAGAGGTCCTGAGTTCAATTCCCAGCAGCCACATGGTGGCTCATAACCATCTATAATGAGATCTGGTGCCCTCTTCTGGCCTGAGGCATATGTGCAGGCAGAATACGGTATGTAATAAATAAATCTTTTTAAAAAATAGAAAATAAAGAAAAAAAGACTATCTGAGCCTGTGGACATTGGGCTGGCTAGTTTTTATGTCAACTTGACACAAGCCAAGGTCATCTGGGAAGAAGGAATTTTTTTGGGTTTTTTGTTTTGTTTTTTTGTTTTTTCGAGACAGGGTTTCTCTGTAGCTTTGGAGCCTGTCCTGGAACTAGCTCTTGTAGACCAGGCTGGCCTTGAATTTACAGAGATCCGCCTGCCTCTGCCTCCTGAGTGCTACAATTAAAGGTGTATGCCACCACCGCCCAGTGAAAGAATTCTCTCTCTCTCTCTCTCTCTCTCTCTCTCTCTCTCTCTCTCTCTCTCCAGAGTTTCTCTGTGTAGCCCTGCCTGACTGTCCCAGAACCTGCTCTGTAGACCAGGTTTTCCTCAAGCTCAGAGATCCGCCTGCCTCTGCCTCTCGAGTACTGGGATTGAAGGTGTGCGCCACCACCGCCCAGCAGAAGGAGAAAATGCCTCCATAGGGTTGCTTATAAGCCAATCTGTAGGACATTTTCTTGATTGATGTCGGACCCAGCTCTCTGTGGGCGGGGCCATTCCTTAGCAGATGGTCCTGGGCGCTGTAAGAAGCAGGCTAGGCAAGCCACGGTGACCAAGCTGGTCAGCCACTCTCCTCCATGGCCTCTGCATCAGTTCCTGCCATCGGGTTCCTTCCTTGAGCCCCTACCCTGAAGTCCCGGATGACGGACTACAAGCTGTGAGCTGAAATAAGCCTCCTCCTCAAGCTGCTTCTGGTCGTGTTGTTTATCACAGCGACAGAAACCCTAAAACAGACATCTGCTCCCTAACATGTTCTGTTTAGGGGATCTGAGAGTTGTTTGGCTTAAGGCCCAAAGTCGGTTATTAGAGGAGTCTAGAACCTACCTAGACCCTAGCTACGGGCGGATTCCCACTGTCGCCCAATGGCTCCTTGCCTCTGCTCAGTGTTTGTCAGCCTGCACAGAGGTCTCCCTTGAGCACATATCTGAAATAACATCCATCATTCGTCCAGCCCACATCTGTTTACTTACGCTCTGCCCTAGCGTCTAAACCTCACGGAAACAAGTCAGTTCTGCTATTTCTATGGAGCCGGCAGGCAGCAGCGTCTGGCATACAAAGTGACTTAAAAAAGAGTTGGGTTGGGTGCAATGGCGCATGCCTTAAATCTCAGCACTCACAAGGCAGAGGCAGGCGAAGTCTACAAAGCAAGTTCCAGGACTCTACATAGGCAGGACCATGTAGAGGGATCCTGTCTCGAATCCACCCCGCCCAAGCCCACCAAAAAAGCTGGCTTCATGGATAAAGGTTCCAAGGCATCAACTGTGATGAGACCTTTAATGCTCTGAACTTTTCCAACCTTTTCTGTATGAACCTAACACAGACTGCACTACTGAATTCAGTAAGCAGCTTTCTGATCTGAGCAACCACAAGGGCAGGAACTCTGCCTTAGTCTTCTGTCAATCCATCCCCAGACATAAACCCCATGCTCAGAATGCACAGTGGAGGCTGCAGTGGAGAACGGTAAGACAGACAGGCAAGGCATCGATGCTTGGTGGTTTATTCCCCTCGGTGGACTCCATCAGCAGGTGGAATGGAAGACGCCTCCCACTCTGACCCCTTGGGCAACCAAGGCATTATACTCCTTCACCGCCTGCTCCGTCTGGAGGACCCGCACATCAATGCCTTGTTTCTCCAGGTACTCCACGGTGGATGGTGGCACCTGAAGAGAAGGGAGAGAGATGAACAAGAAGGGGGAAAGGGGCCCCAGAGACGTCTTTCCTGTCCTAAGGCAAGTGTACTTCACAGAATCAGACAGCAGTGGTCACTTCTCAGTCACCCGGAGTGTCGCCACTCCAGCATGGGGCAGGGAGCTCCAGTGAGCTTCAGAAAAGTCTCTGAGGAGCTGGAGTCACAGTGGTTCAGAGTGTGTGCGTGCGTGTGGCCAAGTTCACTCCCAATACCAGGGTGGGAAAAACAGACAACAGTCACATGCCCGAAGGGTCTCATACCCACGCTTTAGTCCTGGTGAAAAGAAAAGGGGGGTGCAGCATTTTGACTCAGCCCTGGACTGAAGCCTTTCTAGCAGTGTAACTCTGAGTAAGGAATCTAACTCAGCACTTATTTCTCTTAATTCTGTGTTTATGAATCAGGGATAGGGTTGTAGATTATTATTTTAACATGTGTTACATTTGTTGATGTTGTGGAACATTTGTTTAATGATGCAAAGATGTGTTGCAGTTTTTAATATTGGATTTGTTTAACTCTGTAAAGCTGTGTTTCTTTGCCTGTCCAAAGCACCTGGTTGGTCTAATAAAGAGCTGAATGGTCAATAGCAAGGCAGGAGCAAGGATAGGTGGGGCTGCCAGGCAGAGAGGATAAACAGAAGGAGAAATCTGGGAAGAGGAGGAGGAGGAGCAGGAACAAGGGGAGGACAATGCTAGGGGTCAGCCACACAGCTAGCAGAGGAGTTAGAGTGAGAATAAGGTAAAAGCCCAGAGGCGAAAGGTAGATTCAAGCTAAGAAAAGCTGGCTAAACCAGGCAGTGGTGATACAGGCTTTAATCCCAGCACTCGGGAGGCAGAAGCAGGCAGATCTCTGTGAGTTCGAGGCCAGCCTGGTCTACAAGATCTAGTTCCAGGATAGCACCAAAAACTACAGAGAAACTCTGTCTTGAAAATCAAAACAAACAAACAAAAAACAAAAACAAAAAAACACAGTCAGGGCTGGGCACAGACTTGGAAAGCCCCCTTTCTGACGAAGTGGAGTGGCGTACTCGATCTCACACGTCCTAGGTCTCTTACTGCTCAGCTCAGAGAGGGCGTGACATGGAGCTCAACTCCAGTGAAGGAGGTGTCTGTGAAAGCTAGGTCCTCAGGAACTGGTGGACACCAGGACCTACCTTCAGGGCCTCACTCATCCCTCTGCCGATCACCAGGGTCTGCACGCCCTTCTCAGCGACTTCCTTCACGTCTGCAGGCTGCACCCCAGGGGAATGCTGGGCATGGAGGAGAGAGTAGAAGATACCAATCTTCACAACAGAAATATTTTTATTTATTTATTTATTTATTTATTTATTTATTTTTTGCCAAGCAGTGGTGATGCACACCTTTAATCTCAGCACTCGAGAGGCAGGGACAGGCAGATCTCTGTGAGTTCGAGGCCAGCCTGGTCTACAAGAGGGAGTTCCAGGACAGCCAAGGCTACAGAGAAACCTTTTCTTGAAAAACCAAAAAAAGAAGAAAAAAGGAAAAAACAACAAAACCCCAAACAAACGAGTGCATGCGTGTGTATGTGTGTGTGTGTGTGTGTGCAAAGACCTGCCTGTCTCAGAGGAGCCACGGGAAAAACTCAAGATTTTAAAATGCGCACACCGGAGGTGTGATTGCACTCTTAACCCTGGACTCAGCTCTACGGACTCTAGGTTTGGTTTTTCAATTTTAATGAAGTGATTTTAAATATTTTATTCTGTCCCCTCTCTTAGCCTTTTAGCTCTCCAATGGAGGGAGAAGAGGAAGAGAAAACTCAGCACAGCTGTATTTAGTATTAGGTTTCAGCCTTTCAGACTTGAAGGTTGCTCCTTGGCCCTGGAGTCCAGTAAAGAGCAGAAGTGATGTGTGTCTGAGTTCGAGTCCCAGCTCTACCACTGCCAGCTGGGTCCTCGGATCCCTTCCTGCGCTGTGAGAACGGAGGCTTTGGTGCTCGCACTTCCCTGTTCTTACCATTTTTATGTTTCCTTACATCCCCAGCTCCAGGAATTTTTTTTTTTTTAAGATTTATTTAAAATAGCTATACAGTGTTCTGCCTGCATGTCTGCTTACAGGCCAGAAGAGGGCACCAGATCTCATTACAAACGGTTTTGACCGACCTTGTGGTTACTGAGAACTGAACTCAGTACCTGAGCAAGAGCAGCCAGTGTTCTTATAACTGCTGAGCCTTTTTCCAGCCCCCACATATACTGTATCTCTCTCTCTCTCTCTCTCTCTCTCTCTCTCTCTCTCTCTCTCTCTCCTCTCTCTCTCTCTCTCTCTCTCTCTCTCTGAGAATTCGTGTTCATACAAAAACTTCTTTTTTCCTCTGTGAGTTTGAGGCCAGCCTGGTCAACAAAACAGCTCATGACATCCAGGGCTGCTAATTAGAGAATCCCTGCCTCAAAAACCCAAATACCTTCCCTGATGCATGAGCTGGCTTTTCGAAGCCCGCTCCGTATGGCAGGATGCCTTCCTCAGCCTTGATGTAGGGGGGAGGGCCTTGGCCCTGCCTTAACTAAATGTGCCAGGCTTTGTTGACGCCCCATGGAAGGCCTTACTCTTCTGAGGGGTGGATGGTGTGTGTGTGTGTGTGTGTGTGTGTGTGTGTGTGTGTGTGTGTGGTCTGGAGGGTGATGAGGAGGGAAGGGAAGGAGGGGAGGGAGGGAAAACTGTGGTTGGTATGTGAAATGAATAAAAAATTAAAACAACAACAACAGAACACTGGTTCTTTTCCAGAGGACCCAGTTTTGAGTTCCGCCATATATGTGGTGGCTCAGAACTGTCTGTAACTCCAGTCCAGGGGATCCAATGCCTTTGGACACAGCATGCAAGTGTTGCACAGACATGCATGCAGGCAAAACACCTATGCACGCAAAATAAAATAAAAAATAAATTTAAAAAGTAGTTGAGACTTTAAAATGTTTATGGATTTTGGTTTTATGTGTGTTTTGCCTGTGTTTACATGTTTTACATGTGTTTTGCCCACATGAATTATCTGTGTACCAGGAGCATATCTAGTGTCTGGAGGTCAGAAAGGGGTGTCGGAACCCCAGAAATGGAGTTACAGACAATTGTAAATCACCATGTGGTCACTGGAGCTCAAAACTGGGTGCCCTGGAAGAGAAACAAGTGCTGACAACTTCTGAGGCCTCTCTTCAGCCGCAGATTGTAATGTTCAAATGCTTAAAACTTTTAAGGACAAACTGGAAAAGGGACATACATAATCACAACTTTTTTGTTGTTGTTTTGTTTTTGTTTTTGTTTTTGTTTTTAGAGACAGGGTTTTTCTGTAGCTTTGGAGCCTGTCCTGGAACTAGCTCTTGTAGACCAGGCTGATTTTGAACTCACAGAGATCTGCCTCTTCTGTCTCCCAAGTGCTGGGATTGATCACAACTATTTATTAAGACTACAAAAGGATTAATCAGACGCTCTTCTCAGGCCACACTCTCTGATCAGTCCCAGATCCACCCTGAACTAAACTAATAGACGTGATTGAAAGAATTTAGTGGCTTTTCCCCGTAGCTATGACCACAGTGAACATTTACTAGAATAACTGGCCAGCATTGGAGAACTTGTCCTTCCTTAAATAAATGCACTTATGCAAATTATTGGACAGTTACTTACTTCATTTATCAAAGACTAGCAACTGTTTTGACCAGAGCCACGATCCCCAAACTCTTGGGGTGCACGTTGTTTCAGGACAGCAGCTATCATGAAACAGGACCGCTGGCGGCTGGAAGTGCAGTGAGGTTGTTGGCCTGCGACACTGTGATTCTCGGCAGTCAGACTAGAGCTAGCGGGAGGCCAGTGGAGCTGCTGCGTCAGTGAAAGGCACTGATGGGTTCAGCCGCCGCTGCTGACCTGCAGGCCCACAGTAAAAGATGACAGCAGGGGCCAGTGGATCCAGGCGCGGGCAGCAATTACTCTCAGCTTCTCTGGGAACCTGGAATTGGAGCGGTGCTGTTTTCCACCTGCCCTCAGCTCTTGTATGCTTCCAGGTCCTCAAGGCAACCGAGGCTCTCACAGAGCGTGATCTGTTCTCTATTAAGAGGCTTTTATCACACAGCCTAGGGCTGTAAAGCTCAGGATTTTCTAGGGGAAGCTATTAACCGTGGCACAGTGTCTTGACTGCTACCCAGTAGAGCAGCCAGACAAGAGGATTTCATCCTTTGTGGCTCAGAAATTTTATGATTAAACTGAAAAGGAAACATGGCTAAATTAAACTTTCAAAGAATCATTTCGTTCTGCACGATCACAGGCTCGCGAATGGACAGCAGGCGTACTAGTCGCTGGCTGCACTGTGGTAAAGATGGTGGGAATCTATGATACTAGATACTGTCTGGGTTGTGTTCTCATTGTCTCTCCACCGATCTCGACTCTCCCAGGGCCCTGGATCCTTTTCTGTCACAGTACGGTGAAACTTCTGACCACAGTTCTCCAGTGATCTTAGCCTCCCTCCCTCCAGCCTCTGGCCACGGGAGCCCTGAGTGTCAGCAACCTTTCCACAGTCTCACTAACAAGGCGGGTTGAGAAGGGCCTTCTGTTGCCTGCTTGCCCATGGCCTATAAGCCCAGGAATGGGGATCCTGCGGAGCAGTGCATAAGATTCAGACCCAAACCGCACCGGCCTAAACCCTGCTGCACTTGTGATACAGGGTCCCCGAGGCCCACAAACAGCTTTGTTCTGAGGGCAAACCACATCAGGAAGGAACTGGAACTCCAGATGCCCACCTCTCCTGTCAACATGTGTATCTAGGTCTCTTTCCTCTCAACCAAGCTGGTGTGGGAGGTCCTTCTGTCTATGTGTTGCTTTTATTGGTTAATGAATAAAGAAGTGCTTTGAGCCTATGGCAGGGAAGAACAGAACTGGCAGGAAAGCTAGGCTGTGTGCTGGGAGAAGGAGGGTAGAGTCAGAGAGCCCGTGGATCTGCAACCAGAGATAGATGTGCTGAAACTTTGCCGGTAGGCCACGACGTCATGGTGATATACAGATTAATAGAAATGAATTAAATTAAGATGTAAGAATTAGCCAATAAGAAGCTAGAGTTAATGGGCCAAGCAGTGATTTAATTAATACAGTTTGTGTATGATTATTTTGGGGCTAAGTGGCCAGGAACCAACAAGTGGCCCCTCCTGTAACACCAAGCCAGTAGCCTGATCTGGCCTACAGTTCTGCCCCTTAAGGACTGAATTCCAAAACAAACAAACAAAAATGAATCACTCCAGGAGCTGGAGGTGCGGACAGAGAAAGTGGCATTGGCTGCTCATGGTTGCGGGGAGGGGGGAGCTCTTTTGGGGGCCAATAAATATATCCCATGATTCCGAGACTAGCCACTGTACAAGTTCATGAATATGAATGGAATTTAGGTCCATGACATTGTGTTGTGTAGTCTGGTGTGTGTGTGTGGGGGGGGTGTTTTGCCTACATGTATGTCTGTACACCATCAGGGATGCTGGAGCGACAGATGGTTGTGAGTTGCCGTGAGAGTGCTAGGAATCGAATCCAGATCTTCCGGAAGAGTAGCCGGTATTCTCAGCTTCTGAGTCAGCTTTCAGCCTTGCATTGTGCACTTCAAAAGGGGAAGTTCAGCGCTGATGAATATACTTGGTGGGGAAGAAGAGTTGGCCAGCCTCCTGGGAATCAGCCAGTCTATCAGGTCGGCCTACTGGTCAACCTCCTGGAACATCAGCCAGTCTAATCACTGCATCTCACTGGTCAGTGTCCTGGAGTGTCAGCCAGTCTAATCACAGAATCTTACCTCAGTTCCTGTTTCTCTCCAGTCCCAAGCCCGACTGCCTCCGGGCCATACTTTGCAATCCTTGTAGGTTGAGGTAGAGCCTTGCACTTTCATTTGCCCCCAAGAGAGGGAAGCAATTTTAGGGGAAGCCATCAGTAACCGAGCTGCAATCTGAAGTTAAAGAAAAAGGTACAAAGTCAGTCACTAAGGAAAGTTGAAACCACTCCAAAATCCAGAGATAGATGCCCCAATTCTCTACATGAGGTACCTTTCTCTAACAAGATTCTCACCCCATTGTGAATACAGGCTTCTACTGACCATCTCTCTATCTTGTTTTCGAAACAGGGTTTCTCTGTGTAGCCCTGGCTGTTCTGGAACTATCTCTTGTAGACCAGGCTGGCTTCAAACTTACAGAGATCCACCTGCCTCTGCCTCCTGAGAGCTGGTATTAAAGGTGTGTGTCATCACCGCCCGGTTACTGAATCACGAAAGCACAGAAAGCAGAGATGACAAGTATTCTAAAGACTCCAGAGGTAACCCTCAGGATAAAGTCTGAAAGTGGAGCTTTAGTGAGGTGTGCTGGTGTTCTAGGCAGAGTTCAAGGCCCCCCCTGCTCTAGGAAGTGAGTTCTAGGACAGCCAAGGCTGGGGCAATGGCTCAGAGCTTAAGAACACTAGCTGTTCTTCCGTAGGACCTGAGTTCAATTCCCAGTAACCACATGGTGGGATCTGATGCCTACTTCTGGCATAAAGGCACTCATATACAGAAAATAAATAAATCTTTTTTTAAAAAAACTTAAAACAACAATGAAAAAAACCAACAACAAAACCAAAACAAAATAATTAAAGTGAAAGAAAAGCTTAACACTTTGCTTTTGAAAATAAAACAATTACTTGTCCCTCTAGAATTAAAACTACTAAGTGCCTATTTATGCACACCACTGAGTTCCTAGCTCCCAGCAAGTCCCCCATCCACATTATGTAGGTACCCAAGTGCAACTGTGGGAACCAGCCATGATAAGCTAAGTATGGGCAGGTCACTCAAAGGAAGTTCTTTACTTCCAACCATTATCACCTGCCAGAGTAGAACTCAGCCATGGATAAATTTAACAAGAGGCCAGGGTCTCAGTAGTTTACCCTGAAGCAACACCTGGTTGTAGGAAGAACCACAAGCTGAGATTACCTGAGCACAACCCAAGAACAGACCTTCCAAAGGGAATGCCTAACATTCCAAACACCGTAGATAAGATCACCTGCCAGCACACACTCACCAGGGCAACTCTAGACAAATGTCAGTCAATCAGGGGTCCTGAACCTCAGAAACCCCTCACTCCCACCTTTACTACTATAAAACCCTATTCTAATTGAGCTGCATAAAACTTGCATAAAATAAAGGCTCTTTGTTTTCACATACAGGACTCAGTCTCCTTGTCCCTTTTGCGGGGACTTAACGGATTTGGGCATAACACAACTAGGCAGGAGTATAAAAGCAGAGGCATCCTGCTACCATAGAGTAAGCAACCGATTGGTAAAGTAGGCAGGGACCTAAATTCTCAAAATTGGAGAAATGGTTGGAAGGATGGTTCCGTCAGCAAAGTGCTTGATGCACACAGATGAAGACCCGAATTAGATCACTGACACATATGCTAAAAAAAAAACACACACACACACACACACACACACACACACACACAAAATAAACTGGGCACGGCTGCACACACTTATGATCCCCATATTGGGAAGACAGAGACAGGAGGATCCCTGGGATTTGCTGTCCAGCCAATCTAGCTGAACCTTAAAGCTTTAGATTCAGTGAGAGACCCTCTCTCAAAAAATTAAGGTGGAGAGCAAGTGGTGACCTCAACACTCACATATATATATGTCCACACACTTCCTAATACACACTAATATGTATAGAAACACATACAAAAGATGAAATTCTCCAAGGTGACACAGTCACAGAGGAGGTTTGTATAAACTGTCCACATATTCGAAGTAGCTAGGCCATGAGCTGGGTAGCTTAATTCATGGGCCATCACGAGCTGCTGAAGTCCATCACATGACAAGAGAAGCAGAAGGCATGAGGGGGCGGCGGGTAGAAAACCAATACAAACAAGTGGGGTTTTTACTTAATCCTTCAGTGCACACATAGATCCCTGAGTAGAACACAAAACCCTTGATGGCTCAAGGTGTATGAAAATATCGAATAAATTTGTGGCTGAATGTTAAACACTAGACACAGAGGGAAACCTTAGAAAACACCCTTCACAGGCAGATCTCTGAGTTTAAGGCCAGCCTGGTCTGCAGAGCAAGTTCCAGGGCTACTTAGAGAAACTCTGTCTAAAAACACCAAAACGAAACAAACAAACAAAAAGCAGGTCAGTGGTTGGGCAGGGCTCTAATCCCAGCAGGAGGCAGAGGCAGGTGGACCTCTGAGTTCAACGCCAGCCTGGTAACAGAGCGAGTTCCGGGGGAGCCAGGACTACACAGAGAAACACTGGGCTGAAAAATAAAATAAAGTAAAACAAACCCTCAGTCTTTAAAATAAAAACAAGATGATCAAAATAAAGGGCTGAACAGGTATGTTCGTGGCGTCACACTATAAAGAATCAGAAATAACAGCTTTAGTACTGCGGGTAGAATGCATGTGGAGATTTAATTGTAACAGGTTTGTTTTTTAAAATTATTTTGGTGTTTTAAGACAAGGTCTTTCTACATAGAGTTCCTCACTGTGTAGACCAGGCTGGTCTCAAACTCCCAGAGATCCACCTGCCTCTGCTCCCAAGAGCTGGGAAAAAAGGTGCGAACCATCACTGCCCCAACTAATTATAGCGGCTTTAATAGGCCTTTAATTCTATTCATTCATTCATTCATTCATAGGCAGGGTTCCTATACTGTATGGCTCTGGCCACCCTGGAACTCTTATGTGGACCAGGCTAGCCTACAACTCACAGAGATCCACTTGCCTTTGCCTTTCAAATGGTAGTGTTAAAGGAATGTGCCACCACACCAGGCTTGCTTGTTTTGAAACAGGGTCTAATGAAACTCAGCTAGCCTCGAACTCATTATGTAGTTGGGTGTGATCTTGATTTTCTGATCCTCCTGCCTCTACCTCCCAAGTGCTGGTAGATTCTGTATATAGCCTATATATTCTGGGGTGCTGGGGTTCAAACCCAGGGCTTTCTGTAAGCTAGACAACCACTCCACTGTTGTTTTTGTGTTTTTGAGACAAGATCTCATGTAGTTCGGGGCAGTCTCTAAGTAGTGATCCTCTTGCTGGATAACTGGTAGCTATGAGAGCTATGTGTTGCCACTCTGACTTATTTTATTTATTTTTTTAATATTTATTATTTATTATGTATGCAATATTCTGCCTGCGTGTATGCCTTCAGGTCAGAAGAGGGCACCAGACCTCATTTCAGATGGTTGTGAGCCACCATGTGGTTGCCGGGAATTGAACTCAGGACCTTTGAAAGAGCAGGCAATGCCCTTAACCGCTGAGCCATCTCTCCAGCCCTCTGACTTATTTTAAAAGTAAACTTTATAAGAAAAAAAAACCTCGCAAATGAATAAAAACATCACACACCAAAGTCCTGGTGTACTATTCCTGCAGGAGTAAGCTCTCACTGGCTCCTTACAAAAGCAGAGTTTGACCTCTTCTAGCCCCAACCCTTTTCTTGCCCTCTCTTTGCTCCTCTACCATATGGTGGCTGCCACCCTAGGATGACGCAGCAAGAAAATCCTTATTAGAGCTGGCTCCTGACCTTGGACTTACAGCTTCCAGAATTATAAGAAATACATTTCTGGGGGCTGGAGCGATGACTCAGAAGTTAAGAGCACTGACTGCTATTCCAGAGGTCCTGAGTTCAATTCCCAGCAACCACACGGTGGCTCACAGTCATCTATAATGAGATCTGGTGCCCTCTTCTGGCAAGCAGGCACACATGGAAGGAATACTGTATACAAAATAAATTTTTTTTTTTAAAAAGAAATCCATTTGTTTGATGTGTAATTTCTAGCCTCAGGTATCTATTGCAGCAGCATAAAACACGTTAAGTCATTTGGTATAAGCAAATAACTGAACACCAATAACTTCCAATACTTCCTTTATTATCTAAAATGTCCAGTTTTCAATGAAATATTAAAAGAACCCCAAAAGTGTAAACAGTCTCAGTCAAGTAAATGTTTGTGAGTGTTCCCAGATTTGTGATTTCAAATTTAATAAAGGCATGATAACAATAGTTCAGTTGATACACAACCTCAATAAAGTGACGTCTGACCAGGCATCAAGTCGGGGGATATTCTAGCATTGTTACAAAGTGGTTGTCGGTGAAGAAGCACGGAGGAAGGGAGGCCTTGAGGAGGGGGTCACTGACAGCTACTCTGATGACTGGGTGAGAACAGAGCACGGGCAACTCAGGAGTCATCTACACCTGGAATCCACGGATAGAAGGACGGACTCCCAAGTTGTCCTGGCTCCTGTATGTGCCATGGCACATATCCCCATTCACATGGGGAATAAGAAATGGGGCAGTGAGATGGCTCGGTAAATGCACTACTGCCAACTGCTGACCCGAGCTCTGTCTCCAGGACCTATATGTAGAAGGGAGCTGGCTCCTGAAAGCTGACCTCTCCTCTCCACACAGCCACCTCCCAACCCAAATGGAATGTAAAAGGAATACATCTAAAAATATAAATTTTTTTCAGAGCCCCACAACATTTTTTTATTTAGAATATTCTGTAACTTTATTCTCTTTGAGATTGGAGTTCTTTAGCAAAAAATATGAAGCTTTTAAAAAGGGGATGAATGTCTTTGTCATGAGATTCGTAAGTTTTCATGAGTGTAAGTCACTATAAATTAGGTCAGCTGCTTCTCCCCCTTATTGGCACATGCCAGATTCCAGTTCTGCTTTTCCATCATACAGAGAACATCACGGGGTCCTCACTAGGACAAGCAGTTGCTAACCACACATGTAGAGGCCAGGGGACAACCTGTGGGACCGAGGGCTCACTTTCACCATGAGGCTTCTGGGAACTGAACTCAGGTTAGCAGGCTGGTCCACTGACTCATCTCACCAGCACCTGAGTAGACTTCTCTATAATTACTCATTTGCTATGAATTCTGTTATAGCAAGAACATATAGATCAAGATAAATAGTAAATACAATCAATAGGGGTTTGTAATAATCAGGGTGCTTCAAAAAATAGAAGCAGAAGATTACATATATACTAAGTTTATTTCTTCAATTGTTTACTTATTATTTATTTGGTTTTTTGAAACAGGGTTTCTCTGTAGGTGGAGCCCATCCTGGAATTAGATCTGCAGAGCAGGCTGGCCTCAAACTTACAGAGATCTGCCTGCCTTTGCCTTCCAAGGGCTGGGACTAAAGGTGTGCACCATTAAGCCCTGCCAAGATTTCTTTTTTAAAGCCAGGGTCTCAAGTAGCTCAGGATGGCTTCAAACTTACTATATAGCAAGGAAGACCTTGACCTTCTGATCCTCTGGCCTCCACTTCTCTAGTGCTGGGATTATGGTGTCACCATCACCATGTTGGCTTGTTATATTAAAAGATTTATTTCAAGGAAATGGCTCACACAGCGGTAGGGGTTGGCAAATCCAGGCTGAGTAGAACATGCTGGATGGTTGTAATGTCTGGGGTATACATGGTCGCGGTGTCGAGGACTTTTTCTTCTTCATCAAGAAAACATTAGTTCCATCTAATTGGGTGAGGCTCACTCAGAGGATCAAGGGCAGTCTCATTTATTTAAGTCAATAACTGTGGATGTTAGCTGTATCTACAAAGTAACTTCTAGCAACACCCATGCCAGTCTTTGATCAGGTAACTGGACCCTAGACCACACCAAAGTCTAAAGTTGACAGAAAGCGAGCGATCACAATTCATTCTTTTTTTATAAGAGGAACACACAGATTGTTGACCACCCTACTGCAGCGTTCTCATGTGCTACGAGACTCTAACTTGTGCTTTCTGTAACCACGCAGAAGAAAGCCTGAATGCGTAAAAACAAAATGGCCATTGTTAATTAGAGAAGAAAGTTATTGAAGATATTCTCCACCTATTTATATTCATTTTAGAATCCATGAATGTTGAACTTTCTCCTTGACATGGCCAACGTTGCAAGAGAGAAACTGATATGTTTTTCTTCGGTCACCGTGAAGCTGAAGAACTTCTATGTCCCTGAGATGTTCTGTCATGATATCATAGGCAAATTTCTCTTTTAAATGATGGATTTCCTTTTGTCATGATACCCAGGAATGCTCTGAACAGCAGTTAGCCTGTCTTCCTACAGTTGAGTAGACCTTGGATGAATGGAACCCTTTGTCCCAACTGAAAGTACGCCTTCACCAAAACGGCATCACTGAAGCTGAACTAAGGGATGTTCTTAGGGGACACTAGGGTGATACCAGTGTGTCGATGGTAAGCAGTTAGAATTCCTGTGGAGGCCACCACGGCCACCCAGATGGCCTTGTCAGGAGGCCACTGTGAGGAGAAATGACAGTAAGAGAGATGTTTCATTCCATGCTTAGGATTTGACTGGGGATGGGCCCATGATCCGTTCTTTGTCAATTTCCCACATCTCTCTCCTGAAAATGCATACCCTTCAGTAAGGACAACTACAGAGTCACATTTTTACTCAACACCACTTAACTACTAATGCAACTTTGCTACTTCAATTTCTAAATAGTGTAGTGATATTCTGTTTGTGTTTTAACAAAAAAAAATTTGCCTGATGATCAGGGTGCACAGTTAAGGCACTAGATGCCAGGGAATGGTGGCTCACACCTTTAATCCCAGGATTTAATCCCAGGACTAGGGAGGTGGAGACAGGAGTGATATAGCTGGACACAGAGAGGAATATAAGGCGGGAAGAGACAGGAAATCATTGTAGTCTGAGGTTTGCTGGAGACAGATGCAGTCTATTGATTGATTCATCAGGATCGCCCCTTCAGTCTGAGCATTGGTAGAGGTAAGAACTCTCTAGTGGCTGGTCACTCTGTTCCTCTGATCTTCAGTATTAACCCCTATATATGACTCTGTGTTTTTAGGTTTTTTAACTTTCTTTATTGAGCTATTCATTTTTCTTTGCTCCCCTCCCTTCCTTCCCTCTTCCCTTCTACCCTCTTCCATGGCCTCCATGCTCCCAATTAACTCAGGAGAGCTTGTCTTCTCCTTCCTATGTAGACCCATGTATGTCTCTATTAGGGTCGTCTTTGGTGTCTAGGTTCTCTGGGGTTGTGGTCTGTAGACTGGTTTTTCTTTGCTTTATGTCTAAAAGCCACTTATGAGTGTACATATTATATTTGTCTTTCTGGGTCTGGGTTACCTCACTCAATATGTTTTTGTCTAGATCATCCATCTGCCTGCAGATTTCAAGATGTCAATATTTTTTACTGCTGAGTAGTACTCCATTGTATAAATGTACCACATTTTCTTTATGTATTCTAAGGTTGAGGGGCATCTAGGTTGTTTCCAGGTTCTGCCTCTTATGAATAGTCGGAAGTACACTTGAAAGTACTGGCATAGGCAACCACTTCCTAAATATAACCCCAGCAGCACAGACACTGAGAGAAACAATTAATAAATGGGACCTCCTGAAACTGAGAAGCTTCTGAAAAGCAAAGGACACAGTCAATAAGACAAAACGACAGCCTACAGAATGGGAAAGGATCTTCACCAACCCCATATCAGACAGCGGGCTGATCTCCAAAATATACAAAGAACTCAAGAAATTGGTCATCAAAAGAATAAATAATCCAATAAAAAGCGGGGGGGGGGTAATAGAGACTTAAACAGAGAACTCTCAACAGACGAATCTCAAATGGCTGAAAGACGCTTAAGGAAATGCTCAACATTCTTAGCCATCAGAGAAATGCAAGTCAAAACAACTCTGAGATTCCATCTTACACCTGTCAGAATGGTCAAGATCAAAAACACTGATGACAACTTGTGCTGGGGGGGTTGTGGGGTAAAGGGAACACTCCTGCATTGCTGGTGGGAGTGCAAACTGGTACAGCCACTTTGGAAATCAGTATAGTGATTTCTCAGAAAATAGGAAATGATCTACCTCAATACCCAGCAATATCATCTTTGGGTATATACTCAAAGGATGTTCAATCATACCACAAGGACATGTGCTCAACTATGTTCACAGCAGCATTATACTAATAATATATAATAGAACCTGACTATTCTGGGTATCATTATTATTATTATTTTGGTTTTTTGAGACAGAGTTTCTCTGTGTAGTTTTGGAGCCTATCCTAGAACACGTTCTGTAGACCAGGCTGGCCTTGAACTCACAGAGATTCACCTGCCTCTGCCTCCCGAGTGCTAGGATTAAAGGTGTGTGCTACCACTACCACCCAGCAGGTTTTCATTATTAAGGCCAACTGGAAATCATCGTGCTACCAAACAGTTATTACAAAACACGTGACAGAAGATAAGCATATTATTCTGTGTACTGCAAAAGGAAGACCAAGGCAAACAACACAATTCTGGTTTGGAGGCCATATAGCACACTATAGGAGAGAAAACACACATTTTTCCAGACATAGTGCACTCCTTTAATCCTGTCCCTTAGGAGGCAAAGGTAGAGAGACCTCTCTGAGTTCACGGTCACCTTGCTTTGCATAGTAAGTTCCAGAACAGCCAGGGCTACATAGAAGGATCCTGTCTCAATCAACCAACTAACCAACAAATAACTAAATAATCCAACAAAGTAGTTCCTTTTTCAGAAGTACAAGATAATTTTTTAAAACTTAAAAATACTGACTGAGCATGATGGTGTAAGCCTCTGACCTCAGCAGTCAGCAAAGGCAGGCTAACTGAGGCCAGCCAGGGCCACACAGTGAGACCCTATCAAAAAAAATTATTATTATTTTTACGGTCTATGCATGCAAGTCACATTGTATTTATGTAGAGGTTAGAACTGCTTCTGTCCTGCCACCTTGTGGGATCCCAGGATGGAATCCAGGTAGTCAGCCTCTACTCGCTTAGCTGTCGCCTGTCCCTAAGAAAACTTTTGAGAAGCAGCAAAATGAATTATGGGAAATGGTAAATTGATATGAGCAGAGGATGCCTGTATCTGTGCCTTGAGAAATGTACTATGGCTTCTAATACAAAATACCACAGGTGGCTTCAATAGCAGAACTTTCTTCTCTCACTTTGGAAAGCCAGAATGTAAGATAAAAATGCCAGCATGGTTGGTTCATGGTGAGACCTTCTTATGGCTTACAAATGGACACCTAGCTATGCTCTCTTTCTATAGCCACGCAGATTTCAGTGCTGCTTCCTATCCTTTGTTTAAAAAAAAAAAAAAAAAGGTTTGTCTTTGTTTATGTGTGTGGACATAGGCTTGCATGAGCAAACCGCACCACCTGCGTGCAGGAGCCCGCGGCGGCCACTGGATCCTTTGGAACTTGCGTTTCAGATGGTTATGAGACACTTTGCATGCTGGGAACCAATTCCGGGTCTCCTGCAAGAGCATTAGGCACCCTTATCTGATGCGCCAGCTCTTTAACTCCTTCCTGTCTGTAGGGAAAGGAGGAAGCCAATGCACAGCCATTACAGGGATCAAGGCCTCAGACTCCTGGGAAATTGGCAAAGTCTTCTTCCTTCTCAAAGTGTTGACGGACAACTGATCAGTGAGTACAAACTAGCAATGGTAGCTTCCTTCTCCCTTCCTCCTGTTTCCTACAGAGAGCAGCTGACCCCCGGCCCATGCTGTACATAACAAACACCACCCCGAACTGTTCGGAAGTGTTGAGGTAGTTGATGCTACTGATGGGGCACCGCCTTCTGTGGCTTGTGTGTGTCACTTTGGTAGTACTGTCCATTCTCCATCCTCTAACCATCCCCAGTCAGCTTTCTAGAGCCAAGCAGAAGCTTCCCCGCACTTCTTTATCTTTAAGACTGGGTCTCACTATGTAGTCATGGCTGGACCAGAACTTGGACAGAAACTTGCTATATAGACCACTGGCCTAGAACTGACAGAGATGCTCCTGCCTCTGTCTCCTGAGCTCTGGGATTAAAGGTCTGTACCACCATGCTCATTATTATTATTATTAAATTTTATGTGTATGGGTGTTTTGCCTGCATGCATTTCTGTGCACCATGAACATGCTTGGTGCCTACAGAGGACGGAAAAAGGATCAGAGCCCCTGGAACTGGCATTACAGGCAGATGTGAGCTGCCATGTGGGTGCTGGGAATCAAAACCAGGTCCTCTTGTAGAGCAGCCAGTGCTCTTAACCACTGAGTTATCTCTCCAGTCCCCATTTCACATTTACATTATTGCAAACATTATAAAGATGTTTGAAATCTTTCTGGTTTGAAATTAATGTTTAAACATCCATCCTCATAGCACAAAGCCCAATGTGTATAATATATCCTAATGTAATGATATCAACATGAACAATAAACAAATTTCAGGATACTGCAAGGGGCAGACTACAGTTTCCATTTTCTGATACGGAAGGTAACACTGTGAGGTTGAGCCGCTTGAAGAGAGTGGTGACCGGAACCGGGTCTGTAGACCAGCATCTCACCACACTGTCTGGATACTAGAGACATTCTTCTGCAAGTCGATCAACTGCCTCAATTCCACCTCTTCTGCACTAAAGAGGTAGTGGCTTCCTCCCTTCCATTCAGTTTGATAGAAACAGAAAGAGCTTCTTGACTCTTCCTTACTTGCTACTCCTGTAGCAAACTCTTGAGACAGGGTTTCTCTCTGTAGCCCTGGCTGGCTTCGAACTCACAGAGGACTCTACACTTGTGTTTTAGATTTAGACTTTTCCTTCTACTACCAGGTGGTGGTGAAAGTGGCAGCACATGCCTTTAACCGCAGCACTGGGGAGGTAGAGGCAGGAGGATCTCTGAGTTTTGAGGCCAGGCTGGTCTATAGAGCAAGTTCCTGGACTCAGATCTCCAAAGAGAAACCCTGTCTCGAAAAACTAAAACAAGTAAATAAACCTTTATGTAGTTTTTGATTATTTTATTGTTTTTGATGCTATTGTAAAGACTTTTCCTTTGGGAGGATGGCACCTTGCTACATTTGGGCTATAGAGATGGCTCAGCAGCTAAGAGCACTGCCTGCTCTTCCAAAGGTTCTGAGTTCAATTCCCAGCAACCACATGGTGGTGCACAACCACCTGTGATGTGATCTGGTGCCCTCTTGAGGAAGAGAGCTGGTCAGTCATCCTCATCAATTTAAGACTATGAAACCCAATATGGCCAAGTTCAACAGAACCACCCTATACAGGCTGCCCATGCATGCGGCAGCATTGCCAGGGCATAAATTTCATTAAATTTCAAATTCATCTTGCTACATTCCCTATGCCTTCTGAGTTGTTAGGATTATAGGTAAAGCTACCTTATCTAGCTAGAATTATCTTAATTCCAAATTTGGACTGTTCTTTGTTAATACATTGAAATGTACTTGATTTCTGAGATTTTATTTAGAATTCTACAAACTTATTAATTCTGTTAAATGTGGGGCTTTCACAGATACTCTTAGGCTGAATCTTGGCAAAGTTTTTTTGTTTTTGTTTTTTTTGTTTTTTGTTTTTTTTTTTTTTTGAGACATGATTTCTCTGTGTAATAACTCTAGCTATCTAGAACTGGATTTATGGACCAGGCTGGCCTTGAACTAACAGAGATCTGGTGCCTCCGACTCCCAAGTTTAGCTGGGACTAAAGATGTGCACCACCACACCTGGACAAAGTTTTTTTTTCCATTGAAATGAATGGATGAATGGGTATTTTTCTTTATTCTGTTAATATGATGTAATATAGAGACTGAGTTTTGTATGTTAAAGTAAATTTTGTATGCCTGGGATAAATTCCATTAGTTACTGTGTATATCATTACTGTGAAATTGTTAATCCCAAAGATGGAAAGAGAAAGACCACCGACCCAAATCATCAAGGCTAAATTAATTAAATCAAACAATTAATTAAAGTGATTTTTACTTTAATTAATAACAATAAAACAACAAGTCTTTTATTCACGTACATGGGCTACCTCCTCTTAAGATGGAGCTCAGGAGGTCATCACTGGACATGAGGAAGACAAGGTTTTATAGCTCAGGGTAGGAGATTTCCAGTTGAGGAATTTGGTGGGCAACACTGACTGGGTTATAGGACCAGAATACAGGCATATAGTTCTAAGGACCTGCTCAAACAAAGGCATGACTACAAGGTGGTTGAATCAAGGTAGTCATAGTAACAGGCAGTCATAAAAACGCTTTGAAACAAAGACATGGAACAGAAACCAATAGAAGTTAAAGTTACAGGTAGCGCATAGCCCAGTCCTTGAGAAACAGACTTAGTCATAAACAGGAATGAGCCTAGTTTGTTTTTACTATAAGATGGCTTTTAAGGGGGCTGGAGGGATGGCTCAGGGTTAAGGACACTGAAGGCTCCTCCAGGGGACCAAGTTCAAGTTTCCACATGCAGCTCACAACCGTCTATAACTCTAGTTCTAGGGGATCAGCACCCTCACAAAGACATACATGAAGAAAACACACAAATGCTCATTAAAAAAAAAAGAAAGAAAAAGAAAAAAAGATGACTTTTAAGCCTAAAAATGGAGGCAGACTGGTTCATCAAACTACTACTTATGCTTAGTATTTTGGGATCCTGTTGAGAGACTAGGAGGTAGACCCCTTGGTAGGCAGACAGACAGGGAGAGGGGCCTTCGCAAGTTAATAAAGGTGGCGAATTCACAAGATGGCCAGAGTCTTCCTCACCTTTTTGACTGGAATAAAAGCCCCACAGCTTAGAACAAAGGCGTTGTAGGCTTCCCTGGCCCCCCAAGTTCAAGGCCTGCTCAGGACCTGCCACACAAGTATTCTCAGACAGTCAACCATCCTAGCTTCCTTCAAACTGACCAATCCTAAGTTAGGGAGGAAGGCTCTTCAGAGGCTTTACCCTCCTCCCTGCCCCCTCCCCAGCACACACAGAGACTGCATTTTTCAGCTTCCTGAGTCCTTCTTTTGCTTTACAGGGGCATTCTTCTTCTCTGTGCCTGCTGTATGTGTGTGTTTCCAAACCCTCACTTAAATGTCTTTCTTCACCTGTTGATTCTGTCTGTGGTGTTTAGATTTCTCTGTTGCTGGCTACCTGTTGCACTTCAGATCTTTCCTGCCTTGTAATTCCTTAACTGTGAGAAAAAAATGAACCTGATCAAGGCCCCTAGACTGTGTCACTTCAGGCCCCTAGACTGTGTCACTTCAGGCCCCTAGACTGTGTGTGTCACTTCAGGACCCTAGACTGTGTGTGTCACTTCAGGACCCTAGACTGTGCCACTTCAGGACCCTAGACTGACTGCATTATTTCCCTTTTTAAAAATTCTCTTTCATTTTTAGTATAATTTTGATCTTGACGCACTAAATTGATGGTGAAAACACGCCAATGAGTCATGAGTCACAGTTTGAAACTACGGCTGTCAGCTGGGGGCATATTAAAAATATTTAAGAATGAGACAGCATAAACACAGACGACACAGACATGAAGTGGCGTGCTGGGGTAAGTTCTCTTGGGGTCTGTATTAGATATCCTATTGCAGCAGTTCACGGGAGCAGCACTGGACAACGAGGACGGCAGAGGGCAGAGGCTCCTCTGCCACTAACGTGTTAGCGACTCTGTGGTCCACACCAGTGTGTAGGCCCCCAAACAGCAACAGTATCGTGGGCGTGTGCTGTTTACTTTTTTTCAACAACAGACTTCGTGAAAGTCTTAATTTTGCTTTGTAGCAAGACACCTCCTATCTTTGGATGGATCAAGTTTTCAGAGGCCCAAGGGCTGTGCTCTCATTCCAGTCTGGACTAGAAAAGCAGAAACCCCAGCCTTAGTTATCAGTCCCCTTTGGACAAGGCTGTGAATTAAGTATAGTAAAAGAAAACGACAGCATTATAGCCTACTTTTTTCCGGGATTTTTTTCTTTTTCTTTTTAAATTTTATTTATTTATTATGTATACAACATTCTGCCTCCATACATGGCTAGAAGAGGGTGCCAGATCTCATTACAGATGGTTGTGAGCCACCATGTGATTGCTGGGAATTGAACTCAGGACCTTTGGAAAAGCAGGCAATGCTCTTAACCACTAAGCCATCTCTCCAGCCCCTGAACTAACTCTTGTAGACCAGGCTGGCCTCGAACTCACAGAGATCCACCTGCCTCTGCCTCCCGAGTGCTGGGATACCTGGCCTCAAAATATTTTCCCGATTTGAGGATCTGTATATCACATTAAAAAGCATTATTCTAGGGGCTGAAGAGATTGTTGGGGGATATTTGTACACTGTGGGAAAATGCATGTGCTGTGGTTGGTGTAGCAGAAAGCTGAAAGAGCCTACCAGGTGAAGGTTTGATTCGTGTAGTCAGAAAAGGCTGCAGACCTAAGCACAGAAAGATAGTTCCAGACCTAGAAAACGTCTGAACAGTTATAATACGCTAAAAAATGTGCTTAGATGCTAAAGAAAGAAAATAGAATGGGTATAGACAACCATAGCAAAATATATAGTTTTGAAAATAATAAAGTCTTTAAAGAGAGAGTAAAGTAATATTAAAGGAAAAAAACACATAAAGATGGGAAATACATAGGTATCTGGATCCTGTATGGTGCTCTGTTGACTTTGAATTTTTTGGGGGGTTTTTTGAGACAGGGTTTCACTGGTAGTTTTGGATCCTGTCCTGGAACTAGATCTTGTAGACCAGACTGGCCTTGAACTCACAGAGATCCACCTGCCTCTATCTCCCAAGTGGTGGGATTAAAGGCATACGCCAACACCGCTTGGCTGATTTTGAATTTTTTTTTTTACTTATTCATTTTTATTTTATGTACACTGGTGTTTTGCCTGTGTGTATGTCTGTATAAGGGTGTCTAATGCCCTGGAACTGGAGCTACAGACAGTTGTGAGCTGCCATGTGGGTGCTGGGACTTGAATCCGAGTCCTCTGGAAGAGCAGCCAGTGCTCTTAACCACTGAGCCATCTCTCCAGCCCTGATTTTGAATTTTTAAAATGCTAATGTACAAAAAATTAGCTGATGAGAGACACTGGATTATGAAAACTGCTAAATTAAACTAATCTATATTTAAGAATATCTTGATTTTTGCTGGGCATTGGTGGTGCACACATTTAATACTAACACTTGGGAGGTAGAGGCAGGTGGATCTCTATGACTTCAAGGCCAGCCTGGCCTATAGAGTGAGTTACAGGACAGGTTCCAAAGCTACAGAGAAATTCTGTCTCGATAAACCAAAAGAAAAAGAATATCTTGACTTTCAAAATGGAAATCAAAAAATATATTGTATTGGGGGAGAGGTTTTGACTGTTTTCATAGTAAACAAAATGTTATAGTTCTCTTCAAAATTAATAAAGATTAAATTTGATTGGTGGAGACCTCCTGAAAAATGTTGGCTGCAGACATTAAAAAAAAAGAAAGAAAGAAAGAAAGAAAGAAACCAAGAAAGACTACAGGACAGGTGACATATGTGCTGACCCCTTTACTACAGGAACAGCTCTGAGACTGGATGAGACTGACACACCTTGTTGACTACAGAGTCCTCATGACTTATTATTACATGCCCTCCTTTCATATGGCATGGATAGAAGTTTGGTTATACTGTCCAAAAGGACTTACAAAGTTAACAAATGCCTTTTACCTGTTCAAACATAGAACAAAAAAATCATCTGTAAGTGACTTGTGCACACTGCACATTCTATACTTGTGTTAATGCAGAGTATTTGTTATCTTTTAAAGTTTGTGTGTTTTCAGAAAGAAAAAAAACCGACCGAACACCAGTAAAGAAAAATATCTCAAGTGATCCATCCTCTCAGAATGCCTCTGTTCCAGCTTCCTCAAAATTCTGCATCCAGAACAACTTCAAAGCTGTTAGCTGAAATGGTCCAGCCTCACAGACCATCTTCAGCTAAGTCTTCAGATAAGGCTTACACTTTTTCAGAGACTTGACCATTATCCCAGTTTTCTCAGGGTCCCCGGAAGATGCTGTCATCCCCAGACAACAGGAAGCAGTCTGGAGAGCAAAATGCCCACACTCCCAAGAGATGGAGTGGGTGATTTGTGATCATTTAGTGGGTTCGGGTATTTGCCATTGTTTAGAGGGGTTGGTTACAAGTTGTTATTGGTCATGGAAATAAAGCTGAACAAAGGGGATTAGATTGAGAAATCTATTTCTGAAGGGAAAAGGGGGTATAGTCCAGAAACGATGTGCTAAAGAATGGATTGTTGAGTTTCCTCAACATATCAAATCAAAACAATCAAATTTTACATTGATATGGATTTTTATATATTGATACAAATTTAAGGTTTTTTTTGGTTTTTTTTTTTTTTTTGGTTTTTTGAGATGGGTTTGTCTGTAGCTTTGGAGCCTGTCCTGAACTCACTCTATAGACCAGGCTGGCCTTGAAGTCATAGAGATCCACCTGCCCCTATCTCCCAAGTGTTAGGATTAAAGGCCTAAGGTTATTTTTTGCTATAGCATGTTTCTATTTCTTGTTTAAGGTCTTGTACCTATGCAGCTCATTTAAAAATGTAATGAAAAGTTTTAGCCATTTGAAGTTATTAGGATAATAAAGGAAGGAAGGTTAACAGTTATTTAGTTATCTATAACAATCAAACTTACAGCAGTGTTAGGTATGTTTTCAAGGTTAAACAGAAGTATATTTTAAACAGTCTTCAAATACGTACAAAATATGGCATTTAAAATGTTTTAATAACATGAGGCTTTTCATGACAATGAAACATGACTGTTCCTGGAAGCACCAATCTACTTCAAAAAAAAAAAAGATGATGGGCATCGAAGAACCTCCATATGGTGTTTGATTTCAATGTGGCAAAGTTAGTCATTTGGATAAGAGACTGCCTTTCCTTGACTGCTGTAGGTACGCTGGGCAAACAAGACACAAAAGAAAGCAACTGCTGAACTTTGCCAAGATGAGGTTAGACAGTCCTTCAAAATTTCTGCTTCAGAGAAAAGCCTGTCTAACATTCTAGGACTATAGGGCCAAAGATGGATCCCCAACATTGTAGAGGAAACTTGGGTGACCGCTGAGGTAGCCAGCTGCTGTCAATTCCACAGTTTTGGAACTTGTTTGCTTTGCACTTCCTGTTTACTCAGGCAATATTATATCCTTCTTGGGTCTCTGATGATGATGAAGATGAGATAGTTATAGTTACAGTTTTCCTTGTTACCAAATTTTGAAAAGAATAAATTTTATAAGGTTGAGGAACATAAAAGGCTGTTTATCTAAGAAGATGTTTTAAGTTCTAAAATATTTTTTTTAGAATTGTAATCAAGTTGTGATAAAAAGTGGTTTATGTACAAAACTTTGGGCTTACTAAGAGGATAGATAATATAATGTTCTCCAAAAGGACTGGAGATTTTGAATGTAATTCTTACCTGATAATTGTACTTATTGTATATAGTTTTACTATGTTAGAGTTAAACCTTTTCTTTTTACTTAGACAAAAAGGGGCAAATGTTGTGGGGTATTTGTATACTGTGTGAAAATGTATTTGCTGTGATTGTTGTAATAAAAATTTGAATGGCTGTCAGGCAGTGGTGGCACACACCTTTAATCCTAACACTTAGGAGGCAGAGGCAGGTGAATCTCTGTGAGTCTGAAGCCAGCCTGGTCTACAGACCGAGTTCTAGAACAGGCTCTAAAGCTACACAGAGAAAAAAGTTGAATGGCCAACAGCTTGGCAGGAGTTGTATGCAGGGCTTCTGGGGAGAGGAAGGAAGTGGGGTAATCTAGGCATGCAGGAGATGCCATCAAGATGCGGTACAAAGTTGGACACACAGGAGAGTGGTAAAACCACGTGGTAGAACGTAGATTAATCAAAATATGGGTTAAGTTATAAGAGCTAGTGGGACAAGCCTAAACTAAGGTCGAGCCTTCATAATTAACAATAAGTCTCCATGTTGTTATTTGTGAACTGGCAAAGCAATGTCTGACTACAAGAGATGGCTCAGGGGTTCAGAGCGCCTGCTGTTCTTCCAGACAACAGGTAGTTTAGTGACGGGGGTGGAAAATCCAATGCCCTCTTCTGGATTACACACATGCACACACGCACACACACACACACTAGGTATGTTGTGCACATTGGTATTATTAATACTTGGAAGCTTTAAGCAGGAGGATCAGAAGCTCAAGGCCATCCCTGGCTACACAGAAAGTTGGAGGCCAGAATGAAGTACATGGGACCCTGTCTAAAAATAATAAGATAAAAGGAATCATTATTCTAGGACTTAGAGAGGTGGCTCAGCAGTTAGATGACTTGGGATCCAGTTCCCCGCACCCACATCGATACCTCCAACTTGAGGGGGGCTGATGCCTTCTTGCATAGACACGTACCTGCATACATGCAGTGCACATAAGCTTAGACAGGCACACAGGCATATACATGACCAGTAAGATGGTCAGTAGGTAAAGGTGCTTGCAGAGTAAGCTGGGCTTTGAGTTCAACTCATGGAGCACACATTAAAGGTGGAAGGAGTTGGGTGGTGGAGGCACACACCTTTAATCCCAACACGCGGGAGGCAGAGGCAGACGGATCTCTGTGAATTCGAGGTGAGCCTGGTCTACAAGAGTCACTTTCAGGACAGCTAAGGCTGTTAGACAGAGAAATCCTGTAAAGGTGGAAGGAGAGAAGGGATTCCATGAAGTTGTCTTCTGACCTGCAGGCATGTAGCATGTGGCACAAAAGTGTGCACACACAAATGATATCTTAAAAGAATCATTATTCTAGGTAATAACTTTTTCTCAGAGAAATGTTTTTCTCATGAAAAATGAGTTTCTTTGATAATGAAAATAATACAGCCCTTTATGATTTTTCCCTCTTTTTACCTGGAAATGCATAACAAAATTCAATGATCATCTCTGAAGCCATTTTCCATATTCCTGGCATAATCATCTGCCCATTAAAAGAAATCTATCTTTAGTCACACATTTTCTTATTTTATATGATTCAGAATATATGTTGCTTTATATTAGCTTTAGGTAGTAGATATAAGTTTTAAATATACCTTTAGAACCTTTAGAATTTATTACTAAAGTAGTAATAAATTGTAGGCTAAATATAGCTGCATTCAACTTAAATGATACATATTTTTCTTTATTTTTTAATTTTTTATTTTTTGAGTAAAGGTTTCTCTGTAATTTTGGCGCCTGTCCTGGAATTCACTCTGTAGACCAGGCTGGCCTCAAACTCACAGAGGTCAGCCTGCCTCTGCCTCCTGAGTGCTGAAATTAAAGACATGAGTCACCACCACCCGGCTGGAACATCTTTTTTTGATAACAAGAAAGATTTGCTTATTTGAAACAGAGTCTCATTACGTAGCCCTACCTGGCCTCAACTCAGAGCTCTTTCTGCTTCTGTTTGCTGTCTGCTGGGATTAAAGGAGTGAGTGCATTTTAAAGTACATACAATGTGGCAGGGAATTACACTAACCACTTTATTGGGAATTATCCATGCTGGAGATACTATCACCGTTCTTTAGCTATGCTTGGAGTAATGGAGGAACTTCAGAAGGCTATAAAGTATTTAGGGGTAGGACTCCGGTGTGCCTCAATCCAAAAATCTGGCTGCTAGCATACATACATTGTTTCCCAAGCAGCACATTCTATTGTACATTGTCGTTTTTTTTGTTTTTTGTTTTTTTTTTCCGGCTCTGGAATTCTTTCTGGGAGAATGCCACATCTTACTCCTCAGTGGAATGGAACTCAGCTTCCTATTAAACTTGCCGATCTACCGTCTCCCAGTCCTCTATGTAGAGTCCTAGCTCACTCTCAGAGCCTGAGCTGAGCCCAGAGTCTTTCCTCCAGTAGAGCTTGGTTTCTCAGATTCTGTCGTGTGTGTGTGTGTGTGTGTGTGTGTGTGTGTGTGTGTGTGTGTGTG